ATTGGAATAATTCAATTGCACGTCTTTTATAATAAAGTGTCGGAAATCTAAAATTCCGAAAAATATATAATGCAAAAATAATTTCATGTAGATCTTTGGTATCCTTCAACATAATTTGAAAGAAAAGGAGTTGTTGTGTAATTGTGAAATCATAGTTACCTGACTGAGGAGTGAATAAACACTCGTCTTGTCATTATGTCAAATAGTTATGCAATCCACCGTATACGTCTCGAGGACATCAATCCTGTCTACTTTTTATAAACCATAAGGCAGGGGGGCATTATCAAGCACCATTTCGTAATCTCCTCTTTCAATTTTAACAAAATCAACCCTTGATCTATCGAGAACCGCCCAAAGGGATCCATATATAAACCCTTCCTCATTAACAAGAGGATCTCTTTTCCTAGAATCACTCGGTATTGGCTATACATCATAACAGTCGACTTCATCAAGCCTTTATTATACGGATAATTTCTCCCCTATCGTCATCATAAGTTTCTACCCAAACTATTTTGACAGTCATCTCGTGTTTTACACAGTTAACCGAAAGGAAACGATTACGGACCATACCAATAAATAATCCGGAAGAAGTTCCCTGAGCCATAACCAAACAAGCAAGCGACTTCACCGTCAATAATTGAACATTGACCAACCCACAATTCACAAATAAAATCAAATCTCACCAGAAAAAATTCCTCCGCTAATAAGCTCTAAATTACCTCAGAAACTCTCCCAATAAAGTCACAACAAACAGAATTAATTGACGTAATAAACTTCCAGGTAAATTGTATGTTAGGTATTTATTTTTTCAGCAAATGATTTAATATGAAAATTTTTGAAATTCACTAATTTTTATTTTATGAAGAAACTAACTGATTATATCATATGCTTATGCAAACTAATTGCTATTAAAATCATTGGCAAATATTTCTTTATTAAATTTTTTTTAATAATTTAGCATATCGTATAATTCAGCAAATTTTTATGCCAATAAAACATCTAAAAAATTCTATGTAGAGTATCTGTGAGCTAAGTTCAAAAAAGCAAACGTAACGTTTTTTTTTAACTAAAAAAAAAATAATATGAAAGAACAAATAATTAACAATGATTAGTTTTAATAACTCAATTGAAAAATCAATTAATATTTATAGCTTCTTAGAATTTTTAAAAAACGAAAAAATTAATGACCGTTGTTTATTTTTAGACTATTGAATAGAAAAAATCAATCAGTAATTATTTGCTATTCATCGGAATGTAATGAAGTCAATACTGGCAAAATTTTATTCGATAATGTCACAAATAAAAATTAAAATTTGTACAATTTCAATAATGTATCCTCAAGATAAGCAGACAAAAAAAACAGATATCTAAACACAAGAGATACGTTTCGAAAACATGATGAAACCGATTTTAGATGGAAAGAGATGGCTTACATCATATTTTATTATCTTATTAATTTTGATTATTATATTTTTATCGAGTATTAATTAGATATTTTTTATTATTATTAGAATAAGTTACTTTTCATACGGAAAAACGGAAGAAAAAAAACCAATATAATTTTATTAGAAATCATAAACAATAAATTCAACATTGTTTCAAATATGCATTTGAGAACAAATTTAAATTTTTTGGTTTATTTAATAAATGAAATGAAAATGAAAAAATTTTTACCGCTGGACAATTTTATTACGTTAAATCTATACAAATTTATGTAAGCTAAGTATTATGTGACCAATCATTTTCAAATGAGGTCATAATTGTTTTTGACTTGAAACGGGCTTAATAGCACTGTAGTAAACACGCAAAAAGTCTTTCACTTGATCATTGTTAAAGTATCCCTCTTGTCGACAGCTATTACACAAAAAATCAGACGGAAATTGTCTCTTTGGAAATTCCGGATCTTCCGTTTCCTGACCACGAAGGCGAGCATTAACGATATTGTGTGCTTGCCACAAATACATAAACACATCTTCTGGACGATGTACCTAAAAACGATTGATACATTTAATTGAATATTGCTATTAATTAATTTTTCAAGTTTCATGCTAAAACTCTATCAAATACAAATTTAACTGAGGTACCATGGACGAATTTTTAAATACAATTGTTTTGACCTTATCATATCATAAGAGTGAAACGGATAAATTTTATTGATAAATGCAATTTTCTATTTTCAATTCCGTCCGCTCATTTCATTCTTATATGTATTAGCTGAATAGATTTCTTTTTTTTTCTAAGTATAAATCGTTTTGTACTTCAATGGCATAAATTTAAATAATAATGCAAGATCTAACTCTTGAGAAAAGAATTTATATTGCTTTTGTATTGTCATTAAATTTGCTTTTTATATAATTAATTTTCAAATCACACAAATCTGAAGATCTTTTCTATTTATTCATGTAGATTGTTTAATGAAATAATCATATATTTTAAACGAGATTACTATTACCAACCTAAATCCAATTCTCATCGGCATTTTAAAACTGTATCCTAAACATTAGAGACTTCATTACGATAAAAGATGATATTACAGAAGTAACCGACTTGGCTTTCCATGCTAAAAGTTCGAGTTGTCATTCGAAGAAAATGTTCACGACAGTGCTGACAGCCGAAAAAATAGTTTACCCAATTTCGAATTGCTACCAGTGGAGTTATTGGGACAAATTTTGAATCTAAAAACATCATCATCAGATGTGTTACTCATTAAATATGGTATATTGTTAAATAATTAAATTGAAGATATTTTAATAGTCATAATAATAATAACAATAATATAACCTATGATCTCAAATGCCTACTTGTCATGCATATAACAATATAGATTAAAAACAAACAAATAATTAATACTTCTGACCATTCAAACCATTTTTATATGCTTGAAGAGCAAGCGCATGAAATGTTGTCCACAGACCACAAGTATAACCTCGAAATTTGGGACTTGACCCAGCACAATGTTCCCAATCATCGTCTACTGGAAAGGGATGATTGTATTCTTCCTGAAAAATCAATTCACTAATGTTGCTTTAAATTATTTATTATTGATAAACTTGTTAAAATAACCAAGTCTTCTACCATACATTCAAATACTTCTTTTAATTTTTTAAAATTCTTTTTGCAAAATTAAACAACAAATGGAAGGATGTTTTATACTTCTTTTATTACCTTTGTCACTCATTCCTTCTTCTTTAATTTAATTTTCAAATTCTTTAATTACAGTAGAACAATAAATGAAAAAAATGACTCATACTTCCAAATTTAAGAATTTTTTCTTATACTCCTTTACTGAAATCATATCTTTTTGTTCATTTTGATCTATATAATCACGCATTTTCTCGAATAAATTAACTGCTCGTTTACTATTCAACAATTGCTGTAATGATAAATTAAATCACATAAATGAATTTGAAAATATTGATTTTTAATTAATTTTGTAAAAATCGACCTTATAAACATAAAACTTTTTTCGGCAAAAAACTGAGAAAGAAGGCTTTAATCAGAATTTTTATACTTCATTTTTTTCGAATCACATTTACTTCACAAATTTTCATTGCTTCAAATATATAAAATATTCATCAATTAATTAGCATAAATCATATCGAATTGATTTTTTCACTATTGTTAGTATACATAGTAATAATTTACCTTATTTCTATCAGTAATATTATAATAAATTGTTGTGGTCGGTAAATTCTGAAATAATATTTATTAGTAAACATCTGATTTAATTATTTGTTCTTCAAATATTCTGTAAAGATTTCACTCTGAAAATAAGAACAATTAAGGCAAAATTAAAAATTAAAGTATAGACAAAATTTGTAAGAAATTTCAAAAACCATATGAACTAAAAATATTTAAACATTCCAAGAATTGCTGTTAATCAATAATTATTCTCAGAAATACCAAATAAATACTATTGTAGCAGTTGTAAAACATTCCAATTTTTATTTAAAAATAAACAAATTATTTATTTGTCTTCCGCTGAAGATAATTCTGAAAAAATAGAAATATTCATTAGAATATATAACTTAATAAGAAAAATATATCACTAGGAGAATAGAATATTTTTCTCTGTTAGGTTGAATTACTATTTCTGATTATACTAAATGCTAATTATGACAAGTACAATACCTTTGCAAGCATATCCAAGAAATCACGAACAGCGGTCAGATTATTACCGGTAAGATATTTGCCAGTTCGTGCTACTTCATCAAATAATGCATATCGCATAGCTTTCAATATATCTGTTTCCGATACAAAATACCTTTGCCGACATCTACGAAGATTGATATGAATGTGACATAATTATGCAAATATTTCATAACAATTTATTTATTTTTCTAGAAAATATTTCCGGAAATTTTTTTTAATATTTCAAAAACTTACTTCACAATATCTCTTTCACAAAGTGATTGATTCTGTGCAGCATTTTCTTTAATTTCATTTTTGCTATTTTCACTGACCACAAATCTTTCTAATTCATTGAGCAATAGTCTTCGCAATCTGAAAAGTTTTGTATTTTATTGAATTTTAGAAATTGCAACCTTCATATTTTATTAAATTTTAAGAATTGTCTAATAAGGAAAAAGCATATTACATTTCAAACAAAAAAATGAAAAAGTTCATAGTAATTATTTTATATTTTGGACAAAAAAACACCAATAAAAGGAAGGGAAATATTTTTTTTTTTGGAAAGGAAAAAAGAGAACTTGGAAAGTTAAAAAAGTACTGTTTTTTTTAAAGTAAAAAAAGTTGTTATATGCATATTTTTTCATGTAAAGTAATGAACACTTTTTACAACATTAAATTACAAAGGATTTAAAAATATTTTTGTTATACTTCAATAAAGTTTTAGATTCAGCAAATAAGCTTCAACTAATTGCAATTACTGGTATAAAATTAAGTTAACAGTGAAATTTTGGAAACCCTTAGGATGAAAAACTCTTACTGAATAACAAGTAGTGGTTTCATCTGTTCACGTTTAAAAATTGCCATTGATGGAAAATTTTTAATGTATAGGTTATCGGCAAGTGGATGATTATTCAAGGACCGTCGTGCAACCAAACGATCGCTGTACTTAGTCATATCAAGCAACAACTAAATAATATTTTAAACTAATAAAATTAGTTAAAATGAAATTGTGAATAATGATTTTTAGAAGCCATTTTTTCAGTTACATGAGTAATTGTGTGATTTAAATAATACGATTACTGATTTAGACTAATTAAAGCTATACTTTAATTATCTTCAAGCATAAGCAATTAAATTAAGCTTGCATCTTTTCTTTTTTTTACAAGAAAAATGTAAATTTAAAATTTAAAACTTAAAACGTTTTTATTTAATAATGTTTGAAATTGTTTTCATTTATCAAATAAAACTTCATGAAATCAGATGATCATTCTTACCTCAGCACCAATAAGTGATCTTGTCCCCTCTTCAAAAATAATCACCAAAAATGGAACTGATTTATCCATATTTTTCCACAGTTCATTGTATTTTTGATCGCTAAAATAATTTTATTGCAAATCTTGGAAAATTCAAAAATCATATTGAAAAAAAATTTTTTTTCACAAAAATATATAAAGAAAAGAACAGAATTTTTTACTTTTCTAAAAAATCAAAATTAGGCCAATTAGGTGATCGATTTGCACTGTAATCGAGCAGAATCATTTGAGTAATCAAATCTCTCATTTCAGGGACTGATTGTAATGTTTTTATTGGTATGCCATACTTTGGACTGCTTGAATTTCGTGGAAAATACTGCAAAAGCTATTTTTTTCCATTTCATTTCTTTTTTTCTCGAAAAGTAACTTTGCGTAATGGAAGTAATACGGAATTGGAAATATGAAAAAGTCTTCCATTCCAATTTTTGTTGCAAATTATGGAGTTTATTTGTTGTAAATATGCAGCAATCATATTATATCCTCTCCAAAAAAATGATAAGTTATAATGTAAAAAACCTTAATATATGGGAAAAATAAGACATTGTTTGTTTGACAAGTAATTTCGTTGAGTGGATCAGCGCAATTGACGGCAGCTACCCGAACAACTTTATTCCATCCGTAAATATCACGAGATAACGATTTATATGTTTGCGCATATGTACGACAATGTCCACACCAATCTAAGTAGAACTGAAAAATTGTTTTTTTAATTTATTTTAGAAAAAAGCTTCATTATTTTTAAATATTTGGAATTTTAGTAATTTTTAACAATTTTAAGGAAAAAAATAAATAAATAATTAAAGCAAATTAATACAAGTAATGAAAGGTACAAAAAATTTTTTTAATATCTAATATCCTAAATTCACTTTATTACTGAAGTTTAAATCAGGTATACTTTTGATGCTATTTAAAATTATAAACAAATCAGATTAATTGAATTAATTGAATTAATTGAACTTAGGTCAATAAAGTATCAAAGTTCTCGATATAATATCATAAAATGCTAATAATAATAATTCCATTTCTTGCACAATTTTTGTGTAATAATTTTCTACTTTGATATTATAACTTTAGCATTTAAATTCTGTTTCCTTAATAGCAAAGTTATTTTTTGCATTTGCAAATTAAATACAACATTTCAATTCCTTTGCAATAAAATTACTCAACCATTATTGCAATATATGTTTAATTGCTGTGTATCGCACAAAATTCGATATGAATTATTTCGTCAAGTTGACAAAGGCCAATTTAAATAAATGAAAAATTGGATGAAATCTTATCGATTTCAAAAACTAAGAAGTGGATTTAATCTAATAAGTTAATTATAGCATTATTAAAGTTAAGTTTCCAAAAAATAGAGCCTTATTCCATTGCAAAAAAAATTGTGAAAATTTGTTAATTAAAATCACAACGAAAAAGTTTCATGAAATTAATCAATAATCCTATTATTCATTATTGTGATGATAACATTTTATTGAAATTTTTTCTCATGACCTAATTTTTTCTTGCAATTTCAACGAAGATTCTAATTGAATGAAAACTTGCTTCAACAACATAAGCAGCACAATCTTTATCATTATCGGGTAATAATGAATGCTTGCAGAAAACTGTATCGTTGAAGGTCATATCATCGAGTTGTATGATTAAATCAGTTTTCGGATCATATAAGGTTGGATTAATTGCGGTAGGTTGCCGGCCCAAAAATGCAAATTCGCCGTATGTGAATTCTCCAAAAATATTGAATAATAATACTAATAATGTATATAATAGCAGAAACATTCTGAAAAAAAAATTAAAATATAACCGAAATTAAATTTGTAAAAAATTGGTTCACAGATTTTTTACAGGAATGAAATTATATTTGCAAATAATAAGATAGTATATTAAGAAGTTAATAATTCAAATAGCATTTTAATTCTAAATAAATTCAGAGAAAAAATGAAGCATTTTAATTATCGTACAAATTTTGAAGTTTTTGTCGAAAAATTATTGAAATTTGTCAAAAATAAAGAATTGTGAACAATGTATTGCAGTCTTTTTGATTAACAAATTATCTTTGTATTAAATTAATTCAACTAAACTTAAAAAATTAAATATCAACATATATCATAACGAACTGAAATA